TTTTTAACTGTTTCCCTCCATTGGAGCAGAGAATGTCAACAAAAGCTATCTGGAGCCCCTTCTATGAACCTATTGCCTCAATTGTGTGGTGTCTCTACTGAAATCAAGGACTAAACTGTCAATCCTTTCTATTTTTGTATAAAAATGTCAGTGGGAACATCAATTTGCATTGTATTACTTTATCTAAACCTGAAGTTCAAGGTGGCTTGCAAGATAAAAAGAAACACAAGGAAAACCACAGATAGATTAAAATTATGTTTCGAATGGTATTTAACTGCTTATACAGTTATAATTATTGGAAAGATATCTGTTTAAAAGCAAAGGATACTTTCAAACTGAGATGTACAAAACAGTAAAGACAAAGCACTCAATTTTTGAAGGCCCATTGGTATAAAAAGTCTTCACCTGCCCATGAAAGGAGGGAGCCAAGGAGCAGCCACTGAGGAGACCCTCTTCTATGTTACATGCCTTTGAAGGTGATAGATTTCCCATTCTTGAAATCTGAACACGGTCACTTTGGAAGATTTTGTTCATTGTGTCAAGGAGCCAAAGTTCTTGAGTTCGCCCTTCTTGACAACTCATTATCTGGCGTTGGGTGGACTAGCTATCTCTAATCCTCTCTCTTTCATACATACATGGAGAGAGAGCATTTGAGAATAAGCTTATTCCAACAGAATTGTGGTGAGAAACACTAAAAATGTATGTGAAAGGCAAGTTGGAACCAGAAATATTTTGCTGCTCAAGATAGAACAGCAAATGGCAATCCCACACTACAGAGCAGAGGATGAAAGTCCAGCCTGCATATGATAGTGAATGAGCAAGAAATTCTCACAGTTGCATCTCCCAGTGACAAAATAACACAATGTAACAGAATTTGAAAAAAAAATCTGTTCCTGGTTTGAAAGTGTTCTTTCCTGTTTAATTGTGCAGTACACTTACTTAGAAAGTAGTTGTTAAACTCCAGAAACGTTGTTTTTGTGGCTGCCACAAACTATGTTTAATTGGTTGAGACTCTTATGAGATATAATAATAATAATAATAATAATAATAATAATAATAATAATAATAATAACTGGCACAAACCAGTAAAGGTGGTCCCAGTGGTGATCGGCACACTGGGTGCAGTGCCTAAAGACCTTGGCCTGCACTTAAACACAATCAGCGCTGACAAAATTACCATCTGCCAGCTGCAGAAGGCCACCTTACTGGGATCTGCATGCATTATTCGCTGATACATCACCCAGTCCTAGACACTTGGGAAGTGTCCGACGTGTGATTCAATACAACAGCCAGCAGAGTGTCTGCTGTGGACTCATCTTGTTGTGTTTCAAATAATAATAATAACAACAACAACAACAACAACAACAACAACAACAACTTATACCCCGGAGTATAAGTTAGGGACTCAGAGCAGCTTACATATGGGACAGAATGTCCACAAGACATAAAAGCAAAACAATCCATTAAACAAAAACACAATTAAAATAAGAAAATAGTAAAATATAACAATCCAGAAGAAAAACACAATTAAATAAAACATAAGAGTATAAAACAGCAGCATTGCAACTCCATCATAACAATGCTCAACAAAAACCAATAACCAGAATTATTAAAATGGGCATGACCAGGCTATAAAAGGAGCTGGGCATGGGATAGTGCCAGCAGCATATCTTAGGGCCGGGGAATTTGATTAAATGCAGAGAACATAGTATTATCTGGCAATCTAGGGACTGGACATTTACAACTAGGGACTAGGCAAAGGTAAAGGTTTTCCCCTGACATTAAGTCCAGTCGTGTCCGACTCTGGGGGTTGGTGTTCATCTCCATTTCTAAGCCGAAGAGCCAGCGTTGTCCATAGACACCTCCAAGGTCATGTGTCCAGCATGACTGCATGGAGCTCTCAAATGCTTGCTGAAACATCCAGGTTTTCAGATCCCTGTAAAAGGAGCACAGTATGGGGGCTTGTCTAATTTCCATGGGGATGGTGTTCCAAAGTCGGAGGGCCACCACTGAAAAGGCCCTCTCCCTCATCCCCAGGTTGTGGAAAACTATAACAAAATGTGCTGCAGGATGTCCCACAATAATGTTTTGCAGTTTAATAAACTTTTCCTATGTTTTTAATGATAGTACCAATTAGGAAATGATATTTATAACCCAGGAACAAAAATTGTGTTTCATAGTGTAATGAACTGTCTTTTCCTAACATGAAAATCTGCTTCCTAAAGGACAGGCTTCACTTTGCCCAATGCCAGGACATTGACTGCCAGTGTGTGGAACTCAGTACTTTATAAGGCACAGTTTAGAGCAGGCATGGGCAAACTTCAGCCCTCTGGGTGTTTTGGACTTCAACTGTTAGGAATTGTGAGAGTTGAGATCCAACTGTTAGGAATTGTGGGGGCTGAAATCCAAAACACCCAGAGGGACGAAATTTGCCCATGCCTGGTATAGAGTGGTTGCATGCCTGTGTTCAAGGTTGTGCCCTATTCCTGAAATCCTTGGTATCTTGAAGATGGCTGGCGGGCATGAGAGACAGGGCCTTCTCAGTGGTGGCCCCTCGGCTATGGAACACCCTCCCTAAGGATATCAGATCAGCCCCCTCCCTTTTAACATTTTGAAAGAGCATCAAGACTTGGCTCTTTGAGCGGGCATTTCCAAATACAGTGCAACAGACATAGGAAAATGGAATGGTTGGACAATGTGCTTGGACTATGCTTTTAACAGGAGACCCTAATGTTCATGTTTTTACTGATTTGGTGATGTTTTTATTCTTCAACTGTTTTATTGTATTGAATTTGTATTTTATGGTCTTGGTACCAACTGTAAACCATCCCGAGTCACCTGCGGGCCGAGAGGGATGGTATATAAATATCTATATAAATAAAAATGTAATGTTCGTTTATGGGATTAACAGAACTCAAAAAACCACTGGACGAATTGATACCAAATTTGGGCACAAGAGACACCTAACAACCCAATGTATGACCTTCACTTAAAAAAATGATTTTGTCATTTGGGAGTTGTAGTTGCTGGGATTTATAGTTCACCCACAATCAAAGGGCATTCTGAACCCCACCAATGATGGAATTGAACCAAACATGGCACAGAGTTCTCTCATGACCAACAGAAAATACTGGAAGGGTTTGGTGGGCAGTGTTCTTTGGTTTTGGAGTTCTAGTTTACCTACATCCAGAGAGCACGGTGGACTCAAACAATGATGGATCTGGACCAAACTCTACACCAGTGGTTCTCAACCTTCCTAATGCCACGACACCTTTATACAGTTCCTCATGTTGTGATGGCCCAACCATAACCCTAACATTATGAATTGCCATGTAAATAGTGATCTGCAGGATGTATTTTCATTCACTGGAGCAAATTTGGCACAAATACCCGGTATGCCCAAATTTGAATACTGGTGGAGTTGGCGGGGGGATTGATTTTGTCATTTGGGAGTTGTAGTTGCTGGGATTTACAGTTAACCTGCAAAGAAAAAGCATTCTGAACCCCACCAACAATGGAATTGAACCAAAGTTGGCACACAGAACTCCCATGACCAACATAAATTACTGGAAGGGTTTGGTGGGCATTGACCTTGAGTTTGGGAGTTGTAGTTCGCCTACATCCAAAGAGCACTGTGGGCTCAAACAATGATGGATCTGGACCAAACTTGGCACGGATACTCAATATGCGCAATGGTGAACACTGATGGGGTTTGGAGAAAATAGACTTTGACATTTGGGAGTTGTACTTGCTGGGATTTATAGTTCACCTAAAATCAAGGAGTGTTCTGAACCCCAACAATGAATTGGGCCAAACTTCCCACACAGAACCCCCATGACCAACAAAAAATACTGTATTTTCTGATGGTCTTTGGCGACCCCTCTGACACCCCTTTGCAACCCACCGAGGGGTCACGACCCCCAGGTTGAGAAACACTGCTCTACACAAATACTCAGTATGCCCAAATTTGAACACTGGTGGCAGGCCCGTAGCCAGGATTTTGTTTGGGGGGGGGGGCTGAGTTTGGTTCGGGGGGGGCTGAGTCTGAGTGAAAGAGGGTCTGCCCTAGCAAACCTTTTGTATCGTTACCCCAATACCCCCATGCATATGGGATATATTGAGCATGGTGATCAGATCATGATATGAATAAACATAACAGTTTAATACCAGTAAGGCCTTCTCGCGGACCACCATGAGAATTGGGGGGGGGGGGCTGAAGCCCCTCAAGCCCCCCCCCCCGCCCAAATGTGAACACTGGTGGAGTTTGGGGAAAATAGAACCTCAACATTTGGGAGTTGTAGTTGCCGGGATTTATAGTTCACCTACAATCGCAGAGCATTCTGAACTTCACCAACAATAGAATTGGGCCAAACCTCCCACACAGAACCCCCATGTGGGCCACAGCAACGCGGGGCAGGGGACGGCTAGTAGTAAATAAATAAATAAATGTTAAGAAAAAGAGTTCAGCATCTCAGTTAAGACATCTGTATCTGCTTCCTCAGCTGGGATGATATTAAGAGAGGTGACATCATGCAAGCTTCCATGCCTTCTCTCTCTTTTGTGTGCATGAGAGTCACAGATACACTACAATGCAAGCTGAGCTTTGATCTGTGAGTCGGCTGGGCTTCAGAGAGTCCAGTCATCTCATAATCATTATGTATTGTTGGACTAATTATTGGAGGGGAGCACTCCCAATGACTCTCTTTGTGAGGCTCTGCGGGGAGTCTCAGTCCCTGTCCTTGCAAGGCTGGGGGTGGCAGGGCAGGGTTGCCAAAGCAGCTCCAGTCCAGAGATCCTTAACGGGTTTTCCTTTTCTCTCCCCCCCCCCCCCACCTCCTCAACTCTCTCTCTCCTCCCTCCCTCTGTCTGCCTCTGCTCCTGACTCTCTCTGTGTGTGTGTGTGTTTCCCCTCCCCTCCTTCTCTCCCCTTCCCCCTTCCTCTTCCTTCTCGCCTTCCTCCTCTTCCTCCCACCTTGGGGCTCCTCTTCCTCCTTGGCCAGCTCGCCGGGCGACCCTGCTCACCGTCCCCACCTTAATGGCGGCATCATCCGAGGAGGACATCGACCGGAGACCCATCCGGAGAGTCCGGTCCAAGAGTGACACCCCTTACCTCGCCGAGGCCAGGATCTCCTTCAACCTCGAGGCAGGTGAGTGTGGCAGAGCCTCCCGCTTCCCCCACCGCCACCCGGCTGGAGCTGCTGCACTCCTCCCTCCCCTCTTTGTGTCTGATGGGCGTGTGTGAGTGTGTGGACACATATATATGTATAGATCCCCACACACGCATCTAGAGATGCAGCTCCTGCTGCAGGAATGTGAATCCCTGACGCGTCTTGGCTGCCTCTTTCTCCGCACATCTGTGTCAGGAGGAGCTGGATCAAGGAGGCTCAAGGAGGGGCGACACCAGGCTGGAGGGCCCTGTCTGGAAGTCATCCTTGGCCTCAAAGTTGGGAGTGTGAACACTGTGAAGGCACACACACGGGGAGAGGCGATCCCGCAGCCATGCCTGAGTTGCAGGCAGTCTGCCTGGCATTTCCCCAAACGTTGCCACCTCCTGGCTTCTCTCAAGCCTTTCCGCCTCTCCTCCAGGCTGTATCATCTCTCACACCCCCTCCTCATTCGCCCCCCACTCTCCATTTTCCCCTCCAAGCCCCGCATTCCCCTTCCCAAGCCACCTGCTGCCTTCCAGCCTGATAGTCAGCCGCCCCACTGACTCTCCAAATTGGGTTTGCTCTTCTCTTCCTCGATTTCCCTCAGCCCTGACCTTGTCCTCCTTGAAATGCATCTGTAAGGTATATCCCTTCTTCCATGTCATTTCCTCCCACTTAAAGGGGAGGGGGATCAAAATTTCATGGAATCCTAGAGTTTGAAGAGACCCCAAAGACCATCCAGTCCAGCCACATTCTGCTATGCAGGGAGACACAATCAAAGCACTCTCAACAGATGGCCATCCAACCTCCAAACAAGGTTTTGGATTGCTCGGTCTATATTCTTGGAGCAGTTTCTCACCGTAGAGATGTTCAATGTATCAAAACCTCACCACCTCTGAGGATGCCTGCCACAGATGCAGGCGAAACGTGGAGCGTATATACCTGTGGAATGTACAGGGTGGGAGGAAAGAACCACTGTGTTGTTGAAGGCTTTCATGGCCAGAATCACTGGGATGCTGTTGGTTTTTTGGGCTGTATTGCCATGTTCCAGAAGTATTCTTTCCTGACGTCTTGCCTGCATCTATGGCAGGCATCCTCAGAGGTAGTGAGGTCCATTATCTTTGTGTGAACCATTCCTTTTTTTCAAAACTTAATAAAACCCATTGTATGAATCAGATTTTTTAAATATTTCTTTATAATGTAGGCGCATACCTAAAGTTTTGTTTTACGTAGTTTTGAAGATCAAATTAGGTAGGTGACGTCCCCCATTCTCCATTCTCCATACACTGAGTAAACCGATTTCTGGTGTTTGTCATGACTCTTGCCAGCATAGCAGGCGTTATGTTGGCAATTTCGCCTTGTTGGTCTTCAAATCTTGTAGGGTCCTTGGACAGGTTCACGTAAACACAGAATTTCAAAAAACCCCATAGAAAAAGTCACAAGGGGCCGGCCATTCCAAATCCGCTTGAAAAGTAGGCCTCAATGGCAAAAGGACACTCCTCACTGTTCCAATGCATGATGGCGACTGAACTGTGTCAGGACAAAACTTTATACTCCCGCCTCTCGCATGAGACCACTAGCGCTCTGCTACGTCTTCAACCGACTGAATGGCACACATTTTAAAAAAGGAAGTTATGCTGCCTCACCCTGTAGAAGTATGTCTTGCTGCAACTAAGTACGCAAAGGGATCTTGGGGTGTATCTACACGAGTGGTTCCCAACCTATATTTGACCAGGGACCACTTTCCAACATTAGTACCAAAAAGGTTACAAATCAGTTTTTGATCAACTTTGGATTTGGTTTGGTTATTTGGGGTGCTGATTCAGAAAATTGCATTGGGTAGACCACATCAGCTCAAGTTTCTGATACATAACATATTCCATTCAGTAGCTGCCATGTGCTAACCCACAGAAAACCATATTTAATAATCTAAAGTTGATGTGGTCTATCCATTGGGGAGAGACTGGTCAGTGACAGGGAAGGAGTGGCAGGCAGCATCAAAGAAGTGGAAATAAAATAAAGAGGAAGGAGGTTTGTAGACCAGATTTTCATCCTTTCGGCCCACTGGTGGTCTATGGCCCACAGTTTAAGAACCACTGATCTACACTATAGCTTTAATGTAATGTAATACCACCCTGGTGGCGCAGCAACTTAACCACTGAGCTGTTGAACTTGCTGATGGAAAGGTTGGCAGTTTGAATCCAGGGATGAGGGTGAGCTCCCACTGATAGGCCCAGCTTCTGCCAACCTAGCAGTTCGAAAACATGCAAGTGTGAGTAGATCAATAGGTACCACTTCTGCAGGAAGGTAACGGCACTCTATGCAGTCATGCTGACCACATGACCTTGGAGGTGTCTACAGACAATGCTGGCCCTTCAGCTTAGAAATGGAGATGAGCACCATCCCCCAAAGTCAGACACAACTAGACTTAATGTCAGGGGAAACCTTTACCCTTACTTTAACACCACTTTAACTGCAGTGGTTCAATGCTATGGAATGATGGGGTTTATAGTTTGGTGACACCAGCACCCTTTGGCAGAGAAGATTAAAGACTTGGTAAAACTCCAGCTCATATGATTCTAAAACCTTGAGCTATGCCAGTTCACATGGAGTCAAACTGCATTAATTCTGCAATGTATAGGCCCCTTCCACACAGCTGAATTAAATCAAATATTTTCTGCTTTGAACTGGAATATATAGCAGTGTGGACTCAGATAACCCAGTTCAAAGCAGATCTTGTGGGATTTTCTGCTTGATGTTCTGGAATATAGGACTGGGTGGAAGGGCCCTTGGTCTCTAAGGTACTACAAGATCTCTTTACACACTTTGAATACCAAAATCAAGTAAGACATGATTTCAGTGGATTTTCCTCATGTGAAGAACAGCCATGTGAGGGAGAAAGTTTCACCTGCTGCTTCTCATAATGTGTGCACACTGCAGGATTGGAACTAATAAAAATTGGCTTTGTTTTTGTCCCAGGCCTTTCCACACAGCCCTATATACCAGAATATCAAGGGAGGAAATCCCAACTGTGTGTGGACTCAGATAACCCAGTTCAAAGCAGATATTGTGGGATTTTCTCCCTTGATATTCTGGGATGTAGGACAATGTGGAAGGGCACCCAGTGACAATACTTCCCTGCATTCTTCCAATTTTTAAAGCTTTTCCCTCTCTATAATCAGTTATCCTTCTGTCCACTTATTTTATTCAAACCTTGTATACTACACAAATTTGATGCTTACTATTATCCTGTACTGGCAGTCCCCAAGTTACAAACAAGGTAGGTTCTGTAGGTTTATTTTAAGTTGAATTTGTATGTAAGTTAGAACAGGTACATTTTAAGTGTAACCCCAGCCACACACACGCATATATTTATGTATGTATATATGTATATATACATATATATAGAGAGAGAAACAGCTATATATAGAGAGAGAGAGCGCGCATATATATATGCACTTTAGGGTGGAGCCCCTGGTGGCGCAGTGGGTTAAACCGCTAAGCTGCTGAACTTGCTGATCGGAAGGTTGGAGGTTTGAATCCAGGGAGTGGGGTGAACTCCCGCTATTAGTCCCAACTTCTGCCAACTTAGCAGTTTAAAATCATGCCAATGTGAGTAGATCAATAGGTACTGTTTCTTCGAGAAGGTAATGGCGCACCATGTAGTCATGCTGACAACTTGACCTTGGAGGTATCGGCTCTTTGGCTTAGGAATGGAGGTGAGCAGCACCCCCCCAAAGCTGGATTCGACTAGACTTAATGTCAAGGGGAAACCTTTACCTTTACTTATATATGCTTTGGATAGCATAGGAAAGGGTTAGCAACCCTGTGGAGTTCATTTTTCTGTCTGTGTCCCTGTTAAAAAGATTTCCCCTAACTTTCTGTCCCTGTAATAACTGGATTTTGAAAAAAAAATGGCTTGTTGTAGAAACAAGGATTGGCAAGAAAGCTTCAGTGGATACCCCTTTTCCCCAGGAGTTAATTTCCCTTCCAAGGGGTAGATTTCTCTCATTTCTTGTTGCCTCAGCCCTGTTCTTAACCATAAGTCTTTTGTAAGTTGGATGTTTGTAACTGGGACTACCTTTATAAGCCTAGTTATTTTAGTCTAAAAAAAACCAACCCAATAACTTGGGCCAACTTATCCACAGGTCAGTGTGAGTATTGTACCTTAACTTATAAAAAAAGGAATAATCCCTTTCTCTAAGTGATGAAAGACAAGGCCTCAGTCTATCCCAGGAGAACCTAATAGAAACACAACTCCCCTCAGCTCTCTCCACCAATGCATTGCTTCTGGCCTTTTTTAAAATACCTGGGTGGGGAAATGATGGTGGTGACCAGGCCTGTTCCCTGAAGCAGGATTAGTGCCTTCTTCTCTCTGCAGAATGAGCCTTGACTTATCCACAGGTCATATGTGATGCAGCAGCTAAAAAGCCAATAGGATTTTGGCCTGCATAAATAGGAGTCTAGTGTCTAGATCCAGGGAAGTCATGCTACCGTTCTATTCTGCCTTGGTCAGACCACACCTGGAATACTGTGTCCAGTTTTGGGCACTGCAATTGAAGGGAGATGTTGACAACTGGAATGTGTTCAAAGGGTGACTAAAGTGATCAAGGGTCTGGAGAACAAGTCCTATAAGGAGCAGCTTAAAGAGCTGGGCATGTTTAGCCTGCAGAAGAGAAGACTCAGAGGAGACATGATGTCCATGTATAAATATGAGAGAAGTCATGAGGAGGAGGGAGCAAGCTTGTTTTCTCCTGCCCTGGAAACTAGGATGTGGAACAATGTTCAGGCGATTCCACCTGAACTTTCTAACTGTGAGAACTGTTCAACCATGGAACTCTCTGCCCTGGAGTGTGGTGGAGGCTTTTTCTTTGGAGGCTTTTAAAGAGAGGCTGAATGGCCATCTGTCTAGGGTGCTTTGAATGTGATTTTCCTGCTTCTTGGCAGGGGATTGGACTGGATGGCCCATGAAATCTCTTCTAACTCTGTGATTGTATGGT